ATAGCACCACTCATATGCCCATTGCGTACAAGTGGCAGCAACCACATGCGCCGATCCACAACCCACTCGATCGATTACTCGATGAGCGAGCGGAGAAAACGAGGAGCGAGGCCACACCATAACCGCTTGGCATGAGAAAAACACGAGCAAGGGCCACAAGACTGCCCTTGATATCGTACAGGCAACAACAAAGTGACACCACCAATGCTTGGCCCGACCGAGACCGTACACGTGAGCTTCGCTGACACCACCCCAGGGGGACGTTGCTCGATTCAGGGACTTGTTCCTGGGGTCTCGGGTAGTGTCGGTTGTGTGCAAGACCTCGTCAAGGCCTAGGCATTTTCATGGCTGATGAGAAGGGACTGTGAGACCGTTAAATACTGAGAGACCTAGCTGAGCCAAGCCTGGAACCGTGGCTTTTGCTTACACCACCCCAGAGAGCCGTTGCTCGATTCAGGGACTCGGTCTGGGGTGTAGGACAGCATCCGCCTTGTGCATGGGCTCAAGCTCAGCTCCTCTTTTTCACATGCATGCCAACCGATCGAGGTCATGGGTGCCTGCCGATCACCGGAGCAACCAGTCATCGGATAAAATGGTCGAAAGGCATACACGCCCTGTATTTCACTCGAGGGATGTTACCCTAGGTGTACGCAATGGGAGGCCGTACCAAGGGCCAGCGCGTGTCGATGGTGGTCGATGGTGGTCGATGCGACTGCCCGTACCAAGGGCTAGCATGTGTCGATGGTGGTCGAGGCAACTGCTCGCACCAGGTCGAGGCATGTGCCCACACTAAGGCTCGGCATGTGTCGATGGTGTTCGACGCAGGGGCCATCTTCTACCGATGGTGGTCAAGGCTTATGTCGATGGTGCTTGAAGCAACCGCCTGTACCAAGGCCCAGTGTGTGCCGATGGTGATCGAGGCAACTGCCCGCACTAGGGCCCAGCGTGTGCCGATGGTGATCGAGGCAACTGCCCGTAACAGGGCCCAGCGTATGCCAATGGTGGTCGAGGCAAGAGCCCGCACCAAGGGCCGGCTTGTGTCGATGGTGTTCGAGGCAACCGCCCGCACCAGAGCCCAGCATGTGCTGATGGTGATCGAGGCAACCACCCGTACTAGGGCCCAGCATGTGCCGATGGTGTTCGAGGCAACCGTTCACACTAGGGCCAATCTTCTATTGATGGTGGTCGAGGCAACCACCTGCACCAAGGGCCAGCACGTGCCAATGGTGATCGAGGCAATGGCCCGCACCCAGGGCTGGCTTGTGTCGATGGTGATTGAGGCAACCGCTCATGCAGGGCCCAGCGTGTGCCGATGGTGATTGAGGCAACCACTTATACCAGGACCCAGCGTGTGCCGATGGTGATCAAGGTAACCGCCCACACCAGGGCCCAGCATGTGCCGATGGTGTTTGAGGTAACCGCCCGCACCATGGCCCAACCTGTGCCGATAGTGATCAAGGCAACCGCTCGCAACAGGGCCCAGAGTGTGCCGATGGTGATCGAGGCAACCACTCGCACCAAGGCCAACTTCTGTTGATGGTGTACGAGGTAACCGCCCGCACCAGGGGCCATCTTCTGTCGATGGTGCATGAGGCAACGGCCTACACTAGGGCCCAACATGTGTCGATGTTGTTCGAGGCAACCGTGCGCACCAAGGTTCAACATATAATGACGGTGTTTGACGTAACCGCTCGCACCAGGGTGCCATCTTCTACCGATGGTGGTCGAGGCAAGATCCCACACCAAGGGTCGGCTTGTGCCGATGGTGCTCGAGGCAACCTCTCGCATCAGGGCCCAGCATGTGCTGATGGTGCTTGAGGCAACCGTCCGCACTAGGGCTCGAGGTAACCGCCTGCACCAGGGCCGATGGTGATCAACTAACGTGTGCCAATGGTGCTCGAGTTAACCGCCCGTACAGCCCACACCAGGGACCAGCTTGTGTCGATGGTGATCAAGGTAACCACCCACATAGCTCGTACCAGGGCCCAACGTGTGCTGATAGTGCTCGAGGCAACCGCCCACACTAGGGCCCAGTGTTTGTCGATGGTGATAGAGACAATCGCCAGCACTAGGGCCCAGCATGTGTCGATGATACTCGAGGCAACCGCCTGTACCAAGGCCAGTGTTTGTCGATGGTGATCGAGGCAACCGCCAACACTAGGGCCCAGCGTGTGCCGATGGTGATCGAGGGAACCCTCTACACCAGGGCCCAACATGTGCCAATGGTGGTGGAGGCAAGAGCCCGCACCAAGGGCTGACTTGTACTGATGGTGTTTGAGGCAACCGCCCGCACCAGGGTTTGCTGCCAGTAGCCATTCAAGTGTTTGAAAGGGAGACACTTTTTTCAAATGGTCACAAAATCTTCTCCACTTTGAGTTGTTAGCTGAATTTTTTTATGCATGCCACAGCTTGCGCATCACACACCAGGGCCCAGCGTGTGCCGATGGTGTTTGAGGTAACTGGTCGTACCAGAGCCTAGCATGTGCGGATGGTGATCAAGGCAATCATCCGTACCAGAGCCCAATGTGTGCCGATGGTGATCGAGGCAACCGTCTGAACCAGGGCCCAGTGTGTGTTCAGGCAACCGTCCACACCAGGGCCCAGCGTGTGCTGATGGTGTTCAAGACAACTGCCTGTACCAGGGGCTAACATGTGTCAATGGTGATCGAGGTAACCGCCCGCACCAGGGACCAACGTGTGCCGATGATGCTCGAGATAACCGCATGCACAGCCTGTACCAGGGCCCAGCGTGTGCCAATGTGATCGAGGCAACCCTCTACACTAGGGCCCAACGTGTGTTGATGGTGCTCGAGGCAACCGCCAGCACCAGGGCCCAGCGTGTGCCGATGATGATCAAGACAACCACCTACACCAGGGCCTAACGTGTGCCGATGGTGATCCACCAGCGTGTGCCGATGGTGCTCAAGGCAACCGCTCGCACCGCCCGCACCAGGGCTCTACATGCACCGATGGTGATTGAGGTAACCGCCCACACTAGGGCCCATCTTCTACCTATAGTGGTCGAGGCAACCACCCGCACCAAGGGCCAGCACATGCTAATGGTGATCGAGGCAACCGCCTGTACCAGGGCCTAGCTTGTGCCGATGGCAGTCGAGGTAAGTGCCCGTACCAAAGGGCAAGTTATGCCAATGATGGTCGATACATGTGCCATCACCATGCACCATCATATGCCATTGATGGTCGAGGCCTTGGCCAAAGTTTGATTTTGAGCCACGATGCACATGCTGGGCTCGGGCATGTGCTGGTGCCACATTTTTTTTGCCTGGGGTAGCATCGCTGGAGCATCGTCGGAGCATTACCGGAGAACCTGACCGACGACATTGGGGTTCCAACGATTGGAGGGGCCGGGGGTGTGCGCACATGATGTGCGATGGGTGCTGATACTTGGCCCTTATCCCTCATCAAACCTCAAGAACTCACACCCCCTTAAAAAGCATTTGAGATTTTACAAGTTTGATGCTAGTAGCCATTCAAGTGTCTGAAATAAGGGCACTTTTCTCAAATGGTCACAAAATCTTCTCCACTTTGAGTTTTTAGCTGAATTTTTTTGTGCATGCCAATAAAAATAGAAGGATCATGTCTACAAAATTTGGGGCCAAAACTCCTAAAAAATTTTTAATAAATCTCAAACCGTAAAAAGTTTTAAAAATCATGAAAAATAGAAAACGAGTCATCTTACCACGTAACTTCACATGAAGGCTTAGGGGACCATTGTATGAATTTACAAGCAATAAAAATGGCATTGGCATGGCAGAAATATGAAGATGTGCCTAAACCCACCTATTACCCGATCGATCCACGGCATGCACATCCCGCCTCTCTGGCCGATGTAGTGCCCGCCCGTTCATTTCGTGGGTTGACTTAGGCATACAGAGTTCATTCCATGTCTAAGCCCCAGGCGGACCGAGGGTTGTGGTAGCTGGACAGGCAGCGCGATCGACACCACGCAGAGGGGGATCGGGTCGATCCTTGACTTACGCATTATGCCTCTCCGGTCAGCTCAGCGCCCGCACGCTCGTTTCATGGGTTGACTTAGGCATACGGAGTTCTTTTCCAGTCTAAGCATATGGAGTTCATTCCCAGCCTAAGATCGGACCGGTAACGGGATCGACAGCAGCACGCAGAGGGGGATCGAGTCGATCCCCGATTTACGCATCCTACCTCTCCGGTCAGCTAAGCGCCTGTACGCTCATTTTGTGGTTTGGCTTAGGCATACGGAGTTCATTCCATGTCTAAGCCCTAGCCAGACCGAGGGTTGTGGTAGCTAGACCGGCAGCGGGATCAGTAGCACGCAGAGTGGGACCAGACAGATCCTCGGCTTACGTATTATGCCTCTCCGACAAGCTGAGCGCCCGCGCGCTCGTTTCATGGGTTGACTTAGGCATACAGAGTTCATTCTCAGTCTAAGCATACGAAGTTCATTCCTAGTCTAAGATCGGACAGGCAGCCGGATCGGTAGCAGCATGCAAAGAGGGACCGGGCTGATCCCCAGTTTATGCATCTTGCCCCTCCGGCCGGCTCAGCGCCCGCACGCTCATTTTGGGGGTTGACTTAGGCATACGAGATTCATTCTCGATCTAAGCCCCAATCGGATCGAGGGATCGACAGCAGGATCGGTAACACGTAAAAGTGGATCGGGCTGATCCTCGGTTTTCGCATTCTGGCTTTCTAACCGGCTGAGCACCCGCACGCTCATTTCATGGGTTGACTTAGGCATATGTAGTGCATTCCCAGTCTCGACCAACCAAGGGCCAGAGGCTATCGATGGCATTTGGGGCAACAACCGATGGGGACCAGCAGAGGGATCCTTGGTCGACTCTGCATCTCGCCCCCAACAGACGGTTCGGAGCTCGCACGCTCGATTCGAGGCAGATCGAGGCGAGCAGAGTTTGTTCCCGATCGAGATTGGGGGACAGGAGTCCTCGATTCACGCCCAACCCCGAAGGGGGGTTACGTGAAAAGAAGGAGGGTCGACGGGG